TTCCTGCCACCAAGCTCTCAAGGAATTCTGCTTTGTGAGGCTGGCTGGAGAAAGAAGCGGGTCTTGGCAGGGGAAATGTCCTCAATCTCTTTGCACCTGATGGGTCTTTCTCCTGAATGACCACAAAACAGGCCCCAGGACTCAGCCACTCCCAGGGCTCAGCACAGACACTGCTGGGACCTGGGCTGGGTGGAGAGCAGTGACCTGAGAGGCTGGGATGTGGTGTTAGAAGGGCTGCTGCCCGAGGAAGCTCACTTCCCCACTGCTAGTCCATGACTCCAATGCAAATAAAACAAACTACCGAGGAGGAAGGCAAACAGCCTGTGTGCTCCTCCTGTCTATTTGGGAATGGAACAGGAAGGTCTGCACAGCTGACACTTCCAGATGTGGAACCAAAACACAGGCAGCTCCTGACAGTCTACCAGCCTGGGCTAAACTCCAGTAGCGCCAGGACTGGGCCTGTTCAGTGGACAAAGAAAAAGCAACGGCATTGCAGACTCTGCTCAGGTGGGTCTCAGAATATGTTTCTTTATGCATTTGTCAAAGCCCATAGAATGTACAACGCAAAAAGCCAGTTTTAATGTAAACTATAGGCTTTAGTTAATAACAATGTGTCAATGTTGGCTCATCAGTCGTAACAAACTTACTACACCAACATGTTAGTAATATGGGAAACTGGTGAGGAGTGAGGGGTGTGAAGCAACTCTGTAATTTTCACTTAATATTTCCTATAAATCTAAAATTGCTTTTTTTAAAAGGCTATTAAAAAACAACAACCCTGGTAGAGGCAGCCTGGGCCACTCCCCGGCTCCCCGAGGTGCTGTAGATGTTGGATCTGAGGATCGTGGTAGTACAATTTCTCAAATATGTTTGTTGTCAGCACGAGACCTCTTGGGATCTTTATCCCTATTTTTATTTTCCCTCAGCTTCTAAATCTAGAACCAAGTCAGAAATGACTGAGATGCAATTTGAAGTCAGATATCCCCTCAGGGTGGATATAAACACTCTGCTCCTTGTAACTCCATGCCTCCAACAGCAGGGACCATCTGTGTGGCCAAGTGCCTAGCATGGTGCACCACCCCACCAGGTCCTCATGTATGTGGGTACTGGACTATTCTTAAATTCATCTCACATTCCTCCTGTCCCTGGCTTGTGGATCCAAACCAGATTCAACAGAGCGCCAATTCAACCCAGGTATTGTGCTAACAGGAAGGGGCAGTACCTCAGATAGTCCAGGTGCACTTAGGAAGCCCCAGGTGAACAGCTGGACTACATGCTTTTGGTGGAGTAAGAGGATGGCTGGGCTTCTCTGCATTTCCTAGCACAGTGCTGGGACATTCAATACAGTCTTCTTGAGTGATGCGGAAGGGCCAGAGAAGTGTCCATTCTTACACTCCCCTTCCAGGTGAACAACTGGCAGCCCCATGGACGGATGTTGCTGAAGTTGGTAGCTTTGAGGAAGAGAGGAACTGGGTTACATCTGCTGAGGCCCAGCACACTGCTTCCTGGCTTTTCTAGAACAGATACTCCAATATTGCTAGGATTCTCTCTCCCACATACCCCCATAGACACATATCCAGAATGCATTTTTCTTACATAATTCTGTATGTAATGATTTCATTTTGTTTGAAACTCATTACATCCCTTTTGAGATTCAGGAGAGCCACGAGGGGTTAGTAAAAAAATAAAAATAAAAAATAAATTGAGCACCAATTACACATACAGTACATGAGATTTTGTTCTAGGCACTGGGAAGAAAGCAAGGGACAAAACGAAGGCCCTGATCTCATGGATCTTTCCTTCTAAAGGATAAGCAGGCAATAAGCCAATGCACAAATAGATACATGTTGGGCGGATAACAATGAGGAGAACATGTTAGGTGGAAAGGAGAGAGAATGAGGGTGGGTGTGCGATTTAATAAAGGGTGGTCAGGGGCCTGAATGAAGTGAGGGAGGGACTGTGCAGATACCGGGAAAAGAGCCTTCCAGGCAGAAGGCAAAGCAAGTGCCAAGCCCCTGAAAAGGGAGGTTGCTCAGCTAGTTGGAAGAGCAGCCAGGAGGCCAGCATGGCCTTGGGAGAGGGCAGGGTGGGGGGAGAAGAGGGCAGAAGGGGAAGGGGTGCCGCTGAGGGCATTTAGGTGTTTGGAGTTTTCTCTGAATGAAACAGGGCACCATAGAGAGTCCTGGCTTCTCTTGGAAGTTGACACTGACTTCTCGATGAATAGACTATGGGACAGGGAGGTCTGGGGATCTGGAAGCAGAGAGAACACTTAGGAAGCTCCTGCTATAGTCCAGGTAGGAAACGTCAATGGAAGACTGGGTGGTGAGAAGTTGCAGGACTCTGGATACATCTTCAAGGTAAAGCCAACACGATTTGCCAATTTAAAGTGGAATATGAGTGAAAGAACAGAGAGAGTCAAAGGCGCCTCGCAGGTTTGTGGCCTAACTGGCAGAATGAACGATGGTGAACTGGGCAGAAGCAGAGGAAGAGGCTGGATGGAAAGTCCTCTGCAGTGACCAGGTCTGAGGACTGCTACTCTACGGTGCCCCCAAGGCCTGGCCTTGCCCCACAGTGGGCTCCTCTCTCCCACCTTCCCATCCTTCATCTCTGTAGACCTTGAGCCAGTGGAGGTTCCGTCGGCATGGCCTTCCACCTACTCATCCCTCTAGCTGCCCAATCTATCAACAACCCTCCTTTCATTCTGTCCCTCTTCCCTCTTCTTTCCCTCGCTAATGACAGCCACCCTCTACTGAACGCACGATGCATTTCATGCGCTTTATATGCAGTAGCTTGTCTCCTCTTTGCAACAACCTTAAGAAACAGGGGTCTCAGGTTAGTTCAGGTAACTAGCCCAGGGACATACACTGAGTGATTGGCAAGGTCAGGGTTCAGACCCATGCCTGTCTGGTTCTGAAGTCTCCCCTTGACAAGGATGCCACACAATCTCCAACCTGGAAGTGGCCCCACAAATACTGCTCCCTCCTGGAACAACCATCTTTTTCCACCCTTCACCCTTTTCCTAATAAGGCTCCCTTCAGACTCCAGTCCTCTCAGGTGGGGTCTCCCACATAGCCCCTGAACCCACTGTTCCTTCCTCTCTCAGGAAGAATGTCAACCAGGATCCTCCTGCCCTGAGATCTTTTCCTCTCCCCTCTCTCACAGGACCCCGAGACCCTTCATTGCCTCTTCCCACCAGAGAAGGAACAGCAAGTCAGCTGAGGGACCGTGGAGGGTCTCATTGCCTCCAGCCCAGGCTCCTCCCCTAGAAAAGAGAAACACACCACAGAGGCGATGCAGCCCTGTGCCCAGACTCTGACCTCTGTTCCCTGGAACATCCTATCTCCTAACTCATCCTCGGTGGGCAAAGATGCCAGAGGCCTGGGGCTTTGGTGGCACACAGGAACAAACACTTTGAATCAAAGTGTCCCCTGTGCCAATTCGCTGCCGCACAAGTACTTGAGGAGGCAGCTTGTGAGGACAGGGAAATAAAAGCAGAGTTTCCATGACTTCTCTTCAGTCACCCAACTGGCTGGTCTTATAGTTATACCTTAAACCCTGGTGTCCTGTGTTCCTGCCTTAACCCAGAACAGCCTAGCTTCAGGCTAAAGAAAACCAAGGAACTGAGGGAACTACATGTCCTCCGCAGCCACATCCCCACGATTCCCAGCCAGGAGGGGAGGCCTGTTCTCTTTTCTGCAGGTAACTGCCCGTAAACAAGAGTATCTGCCTGGAAGGTCCCATCTCCTGCCAGTTACCTGTCTGTCAAAGCTGCCACTTCCTTCCTTGGGGTATTTTTCTGTGCAAGCTGCCACTTCTCCTGACCAGCAGGTTTCTGCTGGGCCACATGCCTTCCTGCCCTCACCACACCCAGGGCACAGAGGACCTGCCTGATCAGACTTGCAGACACCAGGAGCAATGGATTCAGCTGGCATCTATGGTGAACCCGAGAATCCAGACAGCCAATCCAGACGATGTCCCAGGGGTGTAAAAAAAAAAAAGTCAGGAGACATGTTCTGAGATGAGACCCAAGCTGGAGGCAGCTTTTAGCCCTGCTTGCAAAGTCCGACACTAGCCGGGCCCCAAAGCCTGGCTTCCCTGTGCTGCCACCGTGGAGCCAGTCAAACCTTCCAGCTATGGCCCTGGGTTTCAGTTCGTGTCTCTTACAGCAAATCTCATAAAGGGCCCCACCTGCCCCTTAGATTTTTGTTGCAGAAGAAATAGTTCCCCCAAACTAAGGGAGCTCTGCTTTGGGGGAGCAGTTGTCTGGGCATTTATTTTTTCTTCAAAGCCTGAGTTTTGAAGTCATCAGCCCTGCAATGAAATCTTGGCTCTGTCCCTTACCAGCTGTGTGACCAGAACAAGTCACTACAATTAAATTTGAGCCTCAACTCCCTTATCTGCAGATAGGGTCACAATGCCCATCTTCGTGGGACTGCTGGGGGACTGCAGAGACAATGCCTGTAGTGCTAAGCACAGAGCTGGGCACAGAGTAGTGCTCATTACACAGCAGCTATCATTCTCCACATCACTGGAAGGATAGCAGAGACAGGTGGTGCAGAGATTCCTGACAGCCTGCCCTCCAGGTCCACAGATGGCTCCGAGTGACAGGGCGATCGTTCTTCCATCCCATGATGAAAGGTCTCTGCTGCACATGTGTGCTCACCTCTTGGGAGAGATGTTCGCCACGTAAGTGCAAGGCTTCACGTGTAGATTCAGAGGAACAAAAACTGACTCCATCTTAATATGGCCTTCAGCAACCTGTTCCTTTCTTTTCACCCAAACTCAAGACCTTTGAGGTGTTGCAGTGACTGGGGATCGGTTGCCAACCTTGCTGCTCTCTTCGGGCAGGAGAGCCGAGCTCCCTCACCCCTCCTCTCTCCCATTGTCAAAGACCACCCAGTGAAACTTGCTGGCAAGCTGCCACCGTCCAGACAGGCGAAAGCCAGGCCTAGCCTCCCAGCCTCCATCCCTGCAACAGAGGGCTACAGAAACCAAAGCACCTGACTGTGGGGCTTTCACCTGGAGCTGACGCAGCCTTCACGATGGCAGACCACCAGCGGTGTCGAGGGAGGGCTGCAGGTGACTGCTTCGAAGGCTTGCACACTGGAAGAGCCATTAGAATCTAACACGCGGCTGTAACACAGCAGATTTTTATGTAACGTGTTCACTACAAAACACCCATTCATAATGACAGAGGTAAACAGCTGTGAATTTCCATCACTTTATGTGGGTTCCCTTGCAAAAGAGGGCACTGTGCTGAGTGATTGCGTTATGAAACCCCTTCACGTGGGCACAGGTACATAAAAAGGACGGCCTACAGTAACACCTCTGTGGGAGGATAGCCATTAGAGAGCAGAAAGAGAGTCGAGTGGGGGAGAAGACTTGTGAAATAATTAGGAGCAGCCTCTGCTTTCACAGAAAAGTAATAAAGCCAGAACCCCCCAATTTTCCTCTCCAATTAAGTGTTACCCATACCTAATAAACCTGCCGGGATTGTAATGTTAGGTAAGTTCAGACTAGTAAAGGCACTTGGCTGGGACTAATCTGGAAAAATATTGTCAGAGCCAGGGAAGGTGGGGGAGGGCTCTCCTCCAGAACCCAATTCCAGCCCAGCCTAGGGGGCCCTCCGAGGCGAGCCGGTTCCGCACACTCTCTTCCTCTTACCTGTAACTCCTGTCCTGTGTGATATTTACCTCTCAGCAGCCAAGGAGGTTCCTGGGCAACTGCAGAGCCCAATGACTTTTATTTGTCCCTAAAATAAATGTCCCCTCACCTGCTTCTCTGGGAATGATTTCCTACCCAAGGAAATCTACCCCAGACAGTAGAGTGAAGGGCAAATGGAATTGAAAGGTAAAAAGCCAAATTCAGGCATGTGTTTCTAGAATTCTCAGCTAAAATCTGACATGGATAAGGGAAAAAAATGACACGTGCTTCTTTTCACCCTGACGGCTAATCAGTAACGAGCTTTAGAAACTTGTCTAGTACTCCCATTTCTGAGATTCTGTATTTGACGCAGAGATTCTACTTTTTAACTTTCCTAAAATTAAAAGAATCTAAAAATCTCTTATCTCAAGAATACTTCAGCCTACCATCTGCTGAGGGAAGGTAAGTTTTCAGGGAAAAAATAATAAACAATAGTTCGGGCAGACGTAAAACAACATTTCTGTACCACCGGTCCCATCTCTGCCTGTCTGTAAGACTTTGCCTGAGAGGTTGACTCTCCTCCATCAGGAAGCCTTTCTTGATTGACCCAGTCCACATGCTTTAACTCTGGCATTTGGGTTGCACTGCTCTGCATTTCCCTTCCCTTCAGTAATGGCATCTGAATGGCAGGAGCTCTGGAGAGGATGAGGGCTCCAGTCTACACACACCATCAGCCTCATCACCCAGCGCTGTCCAAACTCATCTCAGAGGAGAACGAACATTCCTTTGCCATGCTTTCTGCTGCTCAGCTCTTTCTGCGTAATTTTTTATTCAATCCTACTTACCTTGGCCATATTGTATATTTTCCTGCTACTGCCCAGGAGGACTAGCTGAGACTTTCTTCAGCGTTTTCTCTGGCAACCACGTTAAGTTGACTGTGTGTTACCGGCTCTGATCTTTCTCCTATGATTTCCTCTTGCTGCCCAATAATCCTGTCCCGAACATCAAAGGCCGTCTTTGAAGATAAGGCCAAATTCACCATTAGGAAAAGAGAAATTATTTCCTAACTTTATTTCAGAGGATGGAACGACACAGAATCCCTGTGGGTTTTGTGAGATAAACACTGCCCGGGACATCGGATCACAAGGCATTCGCTGTAATACCACTGACGGAGACATAAACACAGGGCTTTCCTCACCCAAACCTAAGCAGGACTTTTCCACAGCCATCTTAGACTCCAAATCCCATAGTAAATGGTTTGCATCCAACCTGTCCAGCAGTTTGCCTCAGGGAAAGGGGGGGTTCACATGGCCACCCCAGGGAAGGAAGGCCACCACAGTCTCTGCCTAAAATGTATCTGAGCCAAACTAGAACCAGCAGGCTTAGTCGAGTTCCATGCAGGTTGGACCCTCCCAATAAAAAATGATGAGACACATTCTCTGTACAAGTGGCAACACAAAACAGGAAAAATGACTGGCCCAGCAGGCCAGAGATGCTAGGCTGCGGGCAGAAACCCTCACCTGCCCCTTCTACTCCACTGCTGCTCCCCTCAGACGGTGTGAGTGCCGACGAGACTTCATGGGTCATGGGTCCAGGAAGCTTGTGCTGGGGCTGAGGGAAAAGAGAAGTGTCTCATCTTTTGAACAACCAAATAAACAAACACTTCTGAATATTTGCTTTTCATACGGAGCATTGCTACAAACCATGGTAATTCCTTATTAATCCATTTTATAAATAAGAAAACAAAGATAAAGCAGGTTTTCTACAGTCAGAGGCTCCCTTAAGTCTCCAGTTACCTGGCTCCTTGCTGGGGATGAAGTGACAAAAGGATGAAGGACAATGATTACATTGAAAACAGCTTGTTCATCTTGCAAAACCATTACCTGTGCGTCCAGCAGCCCGTTTTCATCAATATTCGCCAAGTATCTCTCAAGAACACATTCTCAGCTGTCTTCTTACAAAGTAAGGTGGGCTTACATGGAAGGGGTTTGGGGTGGTAAGGCAGCAAGCAAGAAATGAACCCAGAGAAAGTCAAGGGTCAGCTACTAGATGGGTCAGGCTGGAGCAGAAGGCTCCCTAACGGGGTGCCATTATCATGAAGTGGGACTGGGCCACATGTGAGAGGGCTAAGAGGTTTGGATTGTAAACTCAGACTGTTTTTAAGCTGTGTAGCAGCTTGTTTGCAGGACTGATGGGGGGGAATGGGGAGGGTAGACAGTGGGGAATCCAGCCATGTGTCAGCAACAGTTGTCAAGGGCTTGAACAAGCATGGTGGTAGCGGATGGTGGAATAGTAAAAAAAAGAGCAGGAAAGACCAGATGAGCTTGGGGAGGGAGTCTAACTCAGTGGCAGTGGAGACGCAGGGATCCATTAGCTCAGTGGTTTGAAGCAGTGTGAATGGAGTCCACAGGCAGAGCCAGGGCCCCAACCCAAGTTTCCTAATCCTCAGGGCAGTGCCACTTGAGATGAATCTTTTAAGCCTTACTTCCTGCATTCCTCCTCCCTTTCTCTACCCATTACTACCCTGAGGGCTCCACGCAGGCAAAAAGCCCTGGTTAGGAAGGCCTTTTGTAAGCATGGATTTCTAGATTAAAAACAAACACCCTTTTTCCTACCCCCGGCCCCAACTATTTGATTCAGCCTCATAAATGATGAAAATATCACACGTGAAGGCTTCGTGTAGGAGCACTCTTAGGATTCAGGTCAATATATCCACCAATAGCAAAGGGGGTTGGACATATCTGTTTTCTGTGAGTCTTTGGTCAAAAACATAGACATGCTTCAGGGCTGTCTGACTACAAAAGAGCCCATACTTTTATGATAACTATGAAAAGTATGTATGCATGACAATGAAGTAAAGCAAGTTGTGTTATAGCATGGGATTGTGGTAATTTTTAAAAAGCTTCTTTATTATTAGTCGACGCTTGTTCAGTAATAAAAATTGGGAAGGGGAGGTAGTTTGGAGAACCACCCTTGGACTAAGAAAGCTCATTCTCCTGGGACAGGATGCTCCCAGCCCTGGGTCTGATGTACTATAAATGTCTGTTGTACTGAAGTATAGGATGACAAGATGTTCCATATATTAAACAGATTTTTTTTCATCTAAAAAATCACTTTCTTTCCTCTCCCTCTCCAATTTCCGTTTTCTTCCCCTCTCTCTTATTTTCCCAGGCAGCAAGAAAGTTTGGAGTTTGAAGGAAAGAAAGCAACCGCTAGGTGAATAATATCTTTTGGGGTCAGGCTAATACTTTCTTATTCAGAGGCCAGAAAGTACTGGATAGTAATTATCTGCAGCACTTGGGTCTTCTTTGGTTTCTTCCCACTTGTTTGAAAAACACAGTGAGAAAAATCCTTATTTATGAATCATATCAATGTCTTTGCTGAAATCTGAACCAGACCCCCTAGGGGCCTGTAAAATACTGTGACCACCAGGCTCACTTCTCACCCTCCTTGCTTAAACCCTGGGGTTCCCTGGGAAAGTCAACTGAATTGTTTCATGAATAAAATCTCCTACTCCTCCTTAGAGCATGGAAACCACAGATAAGTTGTTAAAGAGAGCTGGGAGCCCAAACACTTCAAAGTAAGGAAAATCTCTGGACCCATTTGTAGGATGATGGAAAGGAACATAAATAAATCACCCTCTTATCACAAGTTGGCCAACCAATCAACAGCCAAGCAGGGTCCTCTCTGTCCCGCCCCTGCCCTCCCCTTCCCAGATATGGTCAAGGAATCAACCATCCTGGCCTCTATCAGCCTTCTCTCCCAAGTAAAGCCAACTCCAGCAGTTTGGGCAAATTCTCCTGAGAAAAAGTCTCTTGCAATGTTACTCGTCCAAGATCTCTTGTTCGAGGATAAAAGGGACAGTGTCTGCCCTCTCAATCCCCGGATTTCATAGGTATAGACAGCCTCTAGCCACCTGAAGGGTCAAACTCTGAGTAATAACTGAGAGCAGGCAGGGTCAGCAAAGTGGCACAACAAGGCAGCTCTTACTTCTTTCATTTTTACCTCTTTCCATAAACTCACCCCAAAAACTCATCTGGCAGGAAAATCATAACTCCACTCCTGTTCCCATCCTGCCTCTGTCCCACTGACCCCAAGGTGCTTCGGGATTACCATGGGAACCTTCTGGGTTTCAATTACCAGACCATTAAAAAGTGCCAATTATAAGACCTCAGAAACGTTCCTGGGTAACCTGTTACACACCTCAAAATGGCCAAGCTCTTGCCTCAGAGTCACTGTAAGTAAGGTTGAGGAAACAGGTCGCCCAGATGTACTGAGCCCCCCTCCCAGCCGGGCCCACACCTCAGTCCAATAAGACCGTGTTTTAATATTGTTCATACTGACCTTGAGAGAATGGGGGTTGATTTATTAGCTGTCACTAGTGGGATGAAAAAAACCATCACAGAGCTGGGCTGCCCGTTTAGGGCCCAGCCATGGAATAAATCAGAAATGTAGGCGCATTCAAGAATTTTGAAAATGACATTCGTTTAATGGCCAATGTTTGCAAAGTTCTGGGCAACAAAGAACTAGGTGACAAATGGGAGCCGGGTACAGGGCACCTGGAGGTGGCACAAGGGCCTGACACCAAAATCTGCTTTTCACTCAGTCCATTCAAGGCGGTAACTCTGGGTCAAAAACTTACGTGAACCCATCTGACCGAGCTGAGAAAGGGGGGAGGGGCACATTGCCCCACCACACCCAGAAAGTGCCTGTTTAGGACCGCTGGTGTGCGGCTTGGGTATTCTTAGCTCTCCTGCCACATCTCTGGAGGGACACAACCACGGTGCGAGTAACCCTGCCACTGCCATCCCTGTCCCCAAGACAAAACTCAATAAAACAAATCCCCTTAAATTCCTCCCGGTCTGCCTGCTCG